TCGGGCACGAGCAAAATTTTCACGCAAGCTGAATAAATTTCGCGTTCACCGCTGTTTTCTTCCTTGCTCGTTCGTTTCGCGGAATCTAATTTTCAAGCGGCAAACGCCGGGATATGGACGTTGAAACGCAAAAAATCGTCGTTAGTGACGGACGTCTTATGGAAATAATTGAACCATCAGATGTAGAATACCGTGTATATACAGAGTCGGACGGTATAGATTTCTGTTTCGTTGGACCGATAATTTCGTCGTCGCTGGCCAGAATTAGAGTAGCCAGGCGATGGTTACGGCATGCACTCGAGTATTCTCCAAAGAACCAGAAGTTTCTCGCTGTGTTATGTTATCTCTCGAATTTAGGGGAAAGTCTTTGTTGGGATTCTTAGGGGGTCTTCTAGTGTGACGGTTTCAAAAAATCAATTTTTATTTTTTTGCATATGTATATCGAAAGTACAACTCTTTAAGAATGTACTCCTGGAGTTTTATAGTTGTATTCAATAAATTAACGAAGTTATAGCTCGTTTAGTGTGACACATCAAAGGCCGGCGATAGGGAGAATGGAAATTGCACTGAAAACTTTAAACGCGTTTTTCTCGGAACCATGTTTTCTCAAATGTTTGCCACGATTTGGCAAAAACTACTGAACCAATCGAACTCAAATTTTGCACATGTCTTCAGACCATGTGTGACTATGGTCCGTATTAGAATTATGCCAAAATATACATTTTTCTGATTTTTGGAGTCTTTGAAAGACGAAAAAATTCGAAAAAATCGATACTTCGTATTCAAAGTGCCGCCAGTTTTTTAATTTTCAATATTTTTCTTTTATTCTACTACCGACCATAGCGACATGCATACTAAATAAGAATCAATTGGATTTTTTTATTTCTGATAAGCAGAACAGCTCAAATCATGGCAACCATGGACCTACTTTTTCTTTTTCATGCTCCTGTTTGACGTGTTCCACAGCAGCCATATTTAATTATTTTTTAACAAAAAAAATTTGTAACGATTCTTCAAGGACAAGTAAATACATAGGAATAAAGCTCATGTTAATAACTGTTATCGTACTTCTGTAATAAATTAGCAAAAAAGGCTTAAAAAAACGGCCATCACACTAGAAGACCCCCTTAAGGAAAATGTGGCCATAGTTTGCGTGTTATATTGTCTCGGCTGACGTTGTTGAAGGCAGGGATTACGTGATCGGTTTCTATGGGGAGTTCGTGTATGTTGGTATTTTGGAGGAATGCTCCTCTGACGTCATATCGATGGAAGTTCGAGTTTTTTTCTGCGATAAGAGGACTTGAAGGAAATTCTCTTCTTCGGCAAGTACAGGGCGGGTCGTGTGAAACAGGCCACCCAGTTATCTTTTTCTA